TGTTATAGATTAAGGAACCACTAACAATAGAGTACAGGAAGAAAGGACACGATAGAATTGCTTCTAGAGTACGAATTCACATCATTATTCCATAATTATTTGAAGAACGAAATACATCATTCTCGTTCACCCACTTTATAAGTCAAAACCAAAGGACATACAGGATCTTCAATCCTATGAGCTAGTTGACCATACGAGTCAAACCTCTCTCATCCTTTTTATTTCCTTAAAAAAAAAACCATAGCAACATCTAGACAACACAATACAGAGAAATTACACTATTAAAGCGATTCTTGACGAGTCCAAGGATAATGACAGACAGAAATCCTTGCTAACAGATACCCTTGATCCACTCTTAACACCACAGATAGGATAACTCATCACTAACAGGACAATAGGGAAAAATTCATCTCGGAATGTTACGGAAAGTGAGATATTGACGGAAGATTAAGTCAATAAAGATGTACGATTGAGAGACACTTAATCCCCAATGATCATGGACCGAGATTAGTTAAAGAATCATCCCCAGACACTCATCCAATTAGGAAATCAAAGTATATAATTGCCACACATGAAATGTATGCCACTCAACTGACCCAATATAGTCAGCATATTTGAAAATTGGGTTGGCACAATTTGGCAAGTCCAATGTTTTGTCCACAATAATTTGTCGTCAACAATATTTGGCTATATTTTTTTTTTTTCGCCGTTTCACAACTTTATTTACAAGCTGTCCGAGGACATTCAGTAAAGGTAATCACATAGGGGAACATCACAATGTTTGTAGTGGGAATGAACAACCAATGCTGACATTACCATGAAAAACTCACTAAATTTATAATACTTATAAATCTGGGATCCAACGAGACGGAAGGTCAAGAGGATCGACACGTTTAAGACGCCGGTATCTCCTGGTGGTGGGCAGGCGAGCGGCAAGGGTGTTAGGATGGACTTCCAGTTGGTCTTGAAGATCTCTATGGATAATTTCGTTAGTCACATACCAGTCAGCGTTTGCTAGTCTCCGCAAAACTTTAGACTGGTAGCATTGAAGCATTTTTAAGTTGGTCTCGCTGGCAGAGCCCCAAATCTGGATACCGTAGGTCCAGATTGGAACAATCATTGCCTTGTAGAGCATCACTTTAGAATGCAGAGACACACTCGATCTCTTACCGACGAGCCAATAAAGGGACCTCATTTTCAGCTTCATCTGCTGGATTTTCGCTTTGATCTGGCTTTTCCATGTGAGTCGCTTGTCTAGATGAAGGCCAAGGTACTTGACTTCAGGTTTCTGAGGAATAGTCACGTTGTTAATGCTGACTTTTGGGCAGGATCTGCGTTTTAGGGAGAAGGAGACGTGTACGGATTTCCCTTCATTTAGTCTCACTCCCCAAAGGGCGAACCACTCGGCCATGGTGTTCAAGTGGGTCTGCAACTCACGAGAAGCAGTGTTCATGTTGGCATGGGTTGACATGAACGTGGCCATTTGGACATCCCGAGAGGTAGGCAGGTCAGCCATGAACAGCATATACAACGTGGGCCCAAGAACGCTGCCTTGCGGGACCCCACAGCCTGGATGAAGCGCCTAGATGATAGAGCTGAGTCTACTTTTACGAATCGATGACATTAGCGGCAAAATGATTATATGCCTACCCGAGATATGCGTAAGGTTGCTTGCATACATCTTCAATGCAGTGTTCAGGTCGGGTCATTTTCCTCAATCCTGGAAAGTGGCAACTATACGAATGATTCCTAAACCTGGAAAGGACATCTCCCTGGCTTCTTCCTACCGAACCTATAAGCCTTTTACCAATTTTGTCCAAGTTATGCGAGCGAGTCATTTTAAACGATCTCCTTCCCGCCATCAGAGCTCTTAAGCTTATACCTGATCACCAGTTTGGATGTAGGGCCAGGCACTCCACAGTGCAGCAAGTTCATCGCGTGGTCGCAACAATCCAGGAAGCTCTCGACGCTGGGAAATACTGCTCTGCTGTGTTCCTGGACATAGCCCAGGCCTTCGACAAGATATGGCATGAGGGGTTGCTGTACAAAATCCGCGGAAAACTTCCTACAAGATTTCACGATCTCTTCGAGTCTTAAGACCCGTTTAAATAGCCTTAATAGTATATACAATACAGGATACAGACTAAAGCATTGGTGCATTTGTTACTTCACCAATCAATAGCTTACTATCAGAATGTGGAGTCCCCCCACTCCCTCAGAAATTAGATTACAATTGCACAAAAAGCGCCATCAGAATGATTTCATCCCCGGAAATACCTGAGAGAAAAACGACAAGAAATACAGAGAATTACGATAAAATCACGCACATAACCTCAAAAATATCATTTAGAAGTCAGAAAATTGTCGCTTTAAGAACTTTTTAGACAATTTTTTATCTCTAGGTTATATATTTATAGATTAAATTTCTTTAGATACATTTATTAAAGGCTTAAAACTGGATTTTTAAAGTTTTGTCAATTTTTTTTAGGTTATGAATTGAAAGATATGAAAATTAGTGATTCAAATTGGGATTTTTTGGAGGAATATTAAATAAAAAACAGAAATTATCAAAGAAAATAATATTTTACACCATTTTAGATTGAGTTTCCGCTTAGATTTCACGGTGAATTATCTCCTCCTTGATTTGGGGCCGAAGAGACGAAAAACACACACACACACATTTTGAGCAAATATTTATTTGATTTTCATTAACGAGTAGGAGAAATTATACATAATGAAAACGTGAGTTTAATAGTAAAGGAAGGAAAATATAAATCACCATCAAAATACGGTGGCAAGTTAAATAACAGTTGCGAAGCATTCTTAAGTGGCTGGCGAGAGAGAATCACGGCGAAACACAATTTTCCTCTGCGACATCAGCAATTTTCACACGCGGTGTCTTCTTTTTTTTTCCACCCTTCTTGGCAAGAAGAGGTGAAGGAAAAATACAGACAATTTCCGGCGAGGAATTCACGCGCGTCTCCTGAAGAGGTTTTGCCGGCAAGAAAAGGAGGCAAAATCAATTAGTTGTTCACGCTAAGCAGTCGCGCTGAATTCTTGGCGAAAGTTGAAAATCATCGTCTGCATTTTCCTCCGGTTCGCGGTGTGAAAAATGCGCTAATTTTCCAACGCCGAGGGGCGAATTGCATCGTGATTGCAGTGCAAATTGAATTGGCAGTGATTTTAGTGGGAATTTTAGTCCAACCCAGAAAAATAGTCTAAAAGTAATTATCAAGGGGGTGATAATACAGTCCAGAAGTGGTGTACAGCTCAACAAGAAGTACTTAAGAAGTTGAAGTGTTCAAAAACATGCAATATTCCTCTCCTGAGACCTTATTTTACTGTCACATTATCTTGATTCTTTGGATTTCCTTCTGATTTTCACACAGAATCAATCATAAGAAATCTTTTTCTAGGTTATGTAACGATTTACTGATCAGATTTAGTGAATAATTCGCTAATTATTAGCAAAATTAAGCATATACTTCGAAGAAACATTGGTATTCTGACCTCTTCATGTAAAGAAATACTGCAAGTTGTATTGAACTCAAACATAACCTCAAAAAGTGTGTTAAAACAAGACCAATCTGGACAATTTTCACTCTGAATCAGCCATTTTTAATTCCATTTTCTTTGTTTTGATCAAGAAAGCTGCCAAGTGAAGTTTATAAATATCTTTTTAGTTATATTTTAAGGTTATGGTCGGAAAAGATATTCAAAAACGCATTTAAAAATGAGTTTTTTGCAGAAATTTTAGATGGAAACAGTCTGAAACTTCATGTTTTAGAAGTGTTTGGAAGTGGTGTACAAATTTAAGGCATATTATCTCCCCCTCGGTAATTATAATCGTTAACAAGGGGGAGATATTATGATCAGAAGTCATCTGAAGTACAAAAGAAGTGAAAGTGTTGAAGAAATTGCAATAATTCGGATCATTATTTTGAATTTCTACTGGATTTTTTTAACTCCTAGAAATCAACTTAAAATTCAGTCCTGAATTTTGATCATTTTGACACATTTTCTAGGTTATGTCACATAATTTTATGACAAAATAACACCTCAAAGTAGATAATCTTGCATTGAAGACGATAATATTTCATTTATTCATAGAATTGTGTAAAGAAACTCCATAAAAACATCAATTCTAGACTATGAATGGTAGAAAACAGGCTAAAATCAAACATAACCTCTAATTTTTGTACTTAAAAGTTGCGTTTTTAAGGTAGACAGATTCTAATTGAGCGATTATAGTATAAAAATGTTCTTTGAAGGATGAAAATCATTAAATAATATCTTAAAACATCAAATATGAAGGTTAGAAAGTTCAATGGTTAGATTTTGGTTAGATTTCAGTTGATTTGTAGTCATTTTTCACGATTATAACGTCAAAATAACCATCATAATAGGCAGAATATCATTGGTTAATCATTTTATTCCATTCTAACTCTCCTCAGAAGTGTTGAGGATTTTTCATACAAATTGTGGAAGTAATTTTCAGATGTTAGCCATATTATCTCCCCCTTGATCGTTAGTATTGTCGTTAATAAACTAAAGTGAATTTTTAAAATTACTTCAAATATATTTTATGGACTCTAGAAGTTCTTAAAATGCCATTTGAATCGTGCTTGTAAGAGGAAAACGATTGGTTTCTCAAAGTCTTACGTTTTTCCGACGGACATTCATACGATTGTCCGATGAAATGTCTTTTAGCATCATTATTATCACTATTTTTAAGCAAAATATCAAGGAAAAGTCACTGAATCTTCTTCAGTTTCATTTCTTCAATTCACACCAAAGACACTGAGATTAAGTGAATCCAATTGAGCTCTTTAATCGTCAGAGAAATCACGGTTAATTGGTTTTGAGCTGAAAGTGAGTGAAATCACGGCGGCCATTAAGTGATTAACCCCTCGCGCGCGCGACGGCGGCGGCGAAGATCTGCCCAGGAAGAAGTTGCGGTGAGTCCATGGCCATTAGGAGTGCTGCGCTGCTCCTGGCGCTCCTTGCGAGTGGCGGAACTCAATTTGCCCGCCATGTCGATGGCACTGCGGATGGTAATGCGATTAGTGAGGATGGCAAAGTTGCTCTCGCGCCCGAAGATGGTAATTGCATTGGATGGATGAGTGAAAAGTTCTGGGCTACAGTTAAATGGTACTTTGCCAATGTGCGCCTCGTCATTGTTCTCGGCATTGGTGGTGAAATTGACTCAGCCACCAATAATTTTGTCAACTTTCTCAACACAGGTTTGTGTCCTTTTGACTCTTTGCCCTCAATTTGAAATCAATAGTGATGAATTTTTGGCTTTAAAGAATGTCCTGAAACTTTTCAGCACAGATTATGAGGAAGTTGAACTAAATTAGAAACATTTTCATAAGTCAAGATCATCATTTCTACACATATCTGACTTATAACCAAATTATAACCAACTGACGACCAATTTATAACGAATTTATGTAGAAATCTTCTCAAAACCACTCTTTTGTGCTCTTTCTCGATCTGAAACCTTAAATAAATCTAATTGATATTTCGTAATCTTGTTCAAACCGTTGCAATGTCAGAGCTAGAAGGCTATTTTCTGGTTAGATTTTGGTTATCAACATAAAATCTACCTTTTTTTCATAAGAAATGTTTAAAGAAACTTTTAAAATTCATCTATACTTTACTAATAATTGGAAATAATTCTGGTTTTGATGCTAAATTTGACGTTTTTTCTGGTTTAGAGAATAATTTTGAAAAAAAAGCATCCCACTTCTGATTACATATTTTCTCTTTCACGTCTTTTGTCTTCAGTTCCAATGCCAGTTGTTCTGCTGAGGCATCAGGAACATGATGGATTGGACAGATTGCCTTATGCTCGACGAATTGGCGCTCTTGTGGTGGCGAAGAAGCTGCAAGATCTTGAGATTTACTTCGCCAACACACCCGTTTACAATGTTGAGGGTGTCAATGCGAACTTCCTCTTCATCCTTCTGGATCAGGCATCGATGGAGGAGATAGAACTCTTTGCTCTGGACTTGTGGACAAAGCACAGCATTTTGAGTATCCTTCTGGCGATGCCTTGTTCAGAAGTTCCGAATATGTTTGGCTTCTTGGATCCATTTGTCCATCATCGTGACGATTCTTGGGGTGCCATGAAGTGGTTGAATGTGGAAGAGTTAACTGTGCAGCCTAGTGAATCGTATTCACTCTGGCACGGAGACGGAAACTTCCGGGGATTCCCTATAAAGATTGAGATGTTCCTCAAGTTCCCAACACTGCTGGCTGAGGCGGAAATTCCACTTCCCTTTGCCCAATCCTACATTCAGCAGAATGCTGGAACACCAAATGGTTTTGGCGGATTGGATGCTCTGATTCTGGCCACGTTGGCGAACAAGTTGAACTTCTCCATTGCTCTGAAGATGACCAAGAAGATAGATTTCGGCTACAAGATGGACAATGGAACCTTCGTAGGCACTCTCGGTGATGTTCTGTACAAGAAGACTGACATTGCGTTCAACAACAGATTCGTCATGCTCTATGACACCGAAGATCTGGATTTTCTCAATTCCATCATGACAGATCAGTTCTGCTTGTTCACGCCTAAGGCGGGAATCAAGCCAAAATGGCTGGCAACCTTCAAGTGCTTTCGTCCGGATGTGTGGCTGATTATTCTGCTCAGCAATCTCATCTGTGGTTTCATCAGGCACTGCATCAAGCGATGGCAGAGACTGATTGCCCCGAAGCAGGAGAAGAAGCATCCTCTGGCCAGAATTCTCTTCGAGACGTGGAATGTTATGATGGCTGCGCCATCTATAATGCTCCCAAAACGCTCTGCTGAGAGATTCTTCATGGCAATTTGCCTTCTGATGAATGTCATCATCACGGGAACCTTCCAAGGCACACTCTTCACATCCATCACAACTCCGGGAAGCTACAAAGACATCAACACACTTCAGGAACTCGATGAATCCGGACTGATTATCAGTACGCCGTCTGAGCAATTGTTTGAATTGTTCGGTGATGGTGGAACACCAGTTCTGGACTCTCTGAAGCGCAAGATGAAAATGATCGAGAGGACAACATTTGATAAGATAAGATACAACGAAGAAACTGTGTTCATTTCAAGGAAAGCAGACAGTGTGCTCAATATTGAGATGGAGTATCTGAAGCCTGACGGCAATCCTGCTTTTCACGTCGTTCCTGAATGTCCTCGGAACTACCATATGGCCTACATTGTACGGAAGGGTTGGGCCTTCTCCACGCTCATCAACAACGTGATTAGTCGCTTTCGCGAATCAGGCGAGTGCAATTTTCATTATATTAATAGAATTAAATGGGCGGAGCTTGCGAGTGGGCGGAGTATTCAGACGACATATAGGCTTTAATGCAACAGTGTCACCAGATCCTTGGGCATAATGTCTCTTTCCTTGAGACAGACAGTGTGCCATTGGTTGCGGATGGTGCCCTCGGTAGGTATTCTATCATGTGTCTCTTCTCCGGACGGATAGCAGCTTCCTTCCGTGTCCAAACGTCTCGGCATCACTTGTCTCTGACTAATACATGATCCTTTTGTTCTCCTGTTGACTTTCTGCCGCATGAGATGGGGTCATGGTGTGCTCTTTCTTGGGTCGTCACGCATGCTTCTCTCTCTCTCTCTCTCTCTCTCTTAATGCATCGTATTCTCAAATGATCAATATTGATTTTGAGTGGCATTACTGAAGTATTTCTGAAAACTAAAGGGCTCTTGGGCTGAATCTCTGTCGCTTCTCACGGTGTCCTCCTCCTCTTGAACAGACCTGAACACCTTTTGAACAAACAAGACTCTCGTACACCTGTATTGTGTTCATATCTCGTTCGTTTTCCTTGCTCATGCCCTCCGTGTGTGTGTGTGTTTTTCTTTTCTCCTCCTATGGTCCTACTTTGTGATCTCTTGACCATGCTCTGCTCCCCGCTGGATATCTGCGCTCCTTTGCTCCTGTTCCTCCTCCATCGTTTTTGGTTATTGTTCTCAGTTCGAATTTTGTGATTGTATTACAGCGTCTAGTTTTAGTATTTTTTCTCTCCATGCTCAGTTCTCATCGTGGCCTCAACGTCAGCACCACAAACTCTCAGAGTTTAAGCCGTCGTCATTCGGCATCACATACTGCCAAAAGAACAATTGAAAAATATTTCTTGTAATTAAAATATCTGCTCCCTGAATTCACCGGTTTTTCAATACGAATGTGTTTTCCATCCACAGCTCCAAAGCAATGGGGAAACTTATGCAAATTATACCATTTTTCAGATGATTTTCTAATATCATTGGGCCAAACTATATACAGATTGCTCAAGATGTCCCAAATTACTTGACAAGTTTAATAAATAATGCCGCGAACAGTGGATTTTCCTAGCAGATACGTTAGCGACAGCGTTAGAATTGAATCTCTCGCGATGAGATGCCTCAGCGTGATTAGAAGCCGGAATTCAGGTGGAATGACATCCCTTCGTGTTGAATACTTCTTTATGCGCGGCGCCACGTGATGCAGAAGAAAGTTGAATTGATTCTGCGACATCTTTGTGTATTCTTGGAACAGTTCTCCTGAGAAAATATCAAAATCATTAATTGCTTGTAATTTGAGTTGATTTTAACTCACCAAAATTTCTCAGGTCTGGAAGGATTGTCTCATAAAAACTGCGGATTCCTCTTGATCTCAATACCGAATGGGTTTGCCAACGTCTCCCTCTTGATCGCGAAGCTACTGTTTGCACTCTTTCCCGGCGCCTTTGCCAAGATATCACAGCCAACATAGTGATGACCTCTTTCTCCGTCAGGAATTGCCTCAGCTAGACTTTGTGTCGGTAAACCATTCTGGGTGTGCTGAAGGAAATACGCGCAGAGAAGACGTTCTCCCTCAGTAACAAAGCGAGTTTGTTGTTCCTCTGATTCGGTGGTTTCATTCCAGATCATCTCGCGCACTTGATCGCGGATCTGCCGGCCTTTTCGAAGAATATTCCACTCCAGAAGACGTCTCTTCTCACCTAAAGTCATGTCTTGGAGATTTTCAAAGACCATGAACTTTATATCATTCAGATGAACGTCGAATCCATCTGCATCTAAATCAGAATATTCCTGATGATCATCAGGCACTTCTCTCACATTTTCACCACTTTCTTCACTCATTTTGCACAAAAACAAACACTTATTCAGAGTACCTGACACCCTACAGTGTCGATTCTCTTTTTCACTCTGCCACACAGCTGAGTATATTAACATATTTTTCACGAAAATGAGAATTTTCACGGTAAAAATTCCTATGAAACCGTAAATAAGTGCAGAGCGAAGGTGATTTGATCGTTTTCCGCGATCTTCCCGAGCAAAAATTGGCCGAAATAGGCACATTTTGGGAGAAAAAGGTCCCATAAGGGCGTAAAAAAGTCCCGGGTCTGTGTAATCAATGTAAAAAGCCCAGTCTGTTCGGGGTGTAAAGGACTCAAGAGTGTAATAGTAATAAATAAATAGTTTCTGTTTGATTTGCAAAGTGTCATGATTGTGGAGATGAAGCACTGTCGTTTGACTCTATATCGACTGGTCACTTTGACTAGTCCTCACGACGTCGTTAGAGAGTCAAGAAATGTCATTTGGGCTGTTTTTTTTTGTCAGACACTTTCTCAGCAGAATCTTATTGTGTTTGAATATGTCTTAATGGTTTTGTAGAGTGTTTTTTTGTTGCAAATTGTACTACAAATTATGTTTTTGTACACTAAAATTATTCTGCACTGACGCCATTTGTTGGTGGAATTTGTGAGAACGACGCTTTAAGTACTTTCCGGACTTTCCGTGTACTTTCCCAAAATATTTGTTGAGGCATAAGAAAACTTAACAACCCTGATGTGTGGTTATTAAATAGTTATACGAAAATATCTCTATTATCACGACACGTGTCAACTCATTACCTGTTTATTGAATTTTTCACGAAATACACTCAACACAGAAAATGTCTTGATGTCTTCTGTATTCACCACTTGAGGAATGTAAACAGTCTTTCCTTCAATTACACCTGGGCAAAGCTCGCTGTACTTGTAATCGCACGGAATATAGAAACTCACAAAATACACCAAAAGGACATGAGCATTGCTAATTATGCAGAAATCTGATGAAAAAAAGAGGGGGTCATTTTTTTTTGGCCGTCCTTTCTTAAATGAACTTACAACGCTTAAACGGTGGGAGATATTGACACGTGGTATTGCTAAAAGTCAAAATTTTCACCGCCGCTAGAGAATGGTGATGTTAAATCCAACTCCCCAGTGCTCCGTCCGCCATTTTGAACACCAGAAAAACACATTTTCCTCATTTATTCAGTCCCTATGACATTGATTGAGCCCAAATTTTAGTATGCTGTAGCTGGCCTCAAGGCCTTTCCAACGATACCCTACTTGTGGGGATTGATGTTTTAGGAGCGGAGATATGAAAGGTCAAAGTTCACACCTTTACCGACCTGTATCTGAGCTGTTTACCGACCGATTTCAATCATTTCTTCACCAAAAGACGTATCTCGACGCCCTTTTGTTGGTTTTGTTTGCCATCAATCTGTGACATCATAACAAATGCCGCCATATTGAAAAAGAACTTTAAGCGCCTGTATTTCGGCAAATTTGTTGTGCATTTCAATGAGATTTTAGCATGTTGTAGTCTAGATCAGGACGTTTCTAAAAATATGCTATAACTTCTCACCGATACAATAGAACCGGAGTTATGACGGTTTAAAGTTTCGATCTTCAAAACACTCTTACTTCGGTTCTATTTGCCGGATCATTACGATTTTGAGGTCGTTGGAAAGGTTTTACGAAGCTCAACAGTTCAGTTAATATTTCTACAGTATTCTACAGTACCAGTGTTGGGCGAAATTTTTACATTTTTACTTTTACACAATTCTTTACATGGTAAAATATGTTTTCTTTACACACAATTTTTTTTACATGTAAAGAAAAAATGTAAAATATGAAAATTGGGCTCAATTTTTCGAATCGAACATTTGTTAATATCGGGAATTTACTTCAGGCGTTTTTCCATGAAGCCAAAATCATTAAGAGTTTTGTGAATTTTACCCTCGTTTAGGTAATTTAGACCAAAATGTACAGACAGATTTCTCGGTTTTATGATTCTTAGGCAAAAATTAAATCTCGTGCAATCCTTCATGCCAAGATATTTGCTAAACATGGATTTTTCCCGCTGTGCATTCTGGATAAGCATAATAAGCAATCGTCACATTGTCCTTTTCTGTCCAGGAATGTGAAGATGATTTCTGAAGACACGTTTTTAGTTAGGAATTGGCCATCGAAGCATATCCTGCGGGCGTCTATGGGGTTCCTGGGATGTCCTAAGCGATTGTCCGAAGACTCAAGCGTACTTAAAGTGGTTTTTATTCGCCAAAAAACAACAAAATGAAGCAATCGGCATGAAAATCGTCTTCTCTTGCCCAAAATCTAAAGAATGAAGTTTCTAAAATGCGATCCGACATTTCTATAGACCTGTCCCAATTGCTGAATGGACATTCTTCTTCCTTGCTTGGTGTTTTCCTCGATGGTTAATCGGCAGCAGAAGCACCTCGAAAAGAATACAAAAATATACGTTCAATTAGCAAATTTGCTTGTAAAATAAGAGTAAAACTTCGATAGTCCATCAAAGAAATGTATTGGAACATCAGTTGTTGAATTATTAACTTACCTTACTCAATTATGCCAACAATTTGCAGATTTTCCTGAGTTTTCACTGTTGTTTACAATTTTGTGTCTTCTCGCGTATGTGACAAAAAGTATTTTCATTGCAATTCCACGGGAATTCCACGGGAATTCCACGGGAATTTCAGTAGTTTTTTTTAAACTTCAGAAAAGAATTTTTACATTTTACTTTACATTTTACATTTTTTACACATTCTTTACATGTAAAATGTAAAGAGGTATTTTTTACCATGTAAAGGCACAACACTGTACAGTACAGATAATATTTTTTGAAATATTAAATTTAAAAATTTTCTTCCAAGATTATTCTATTCTTCTAACACCTGAGTTATGAAGGTTTGAAATTGTTCTATTAAAACAGGGTTTTGTCGACTTGGTCACACTTTGAGTTGTTTGCTTCGTTTGCTTATCGTGTCTTTGAATATTTCAGACACTCCTTGAGTCACTCTGTATAACTGTAATTGCTCTTATTGATAAATTCATGAAAACTTTGACTATTTGTGTGCGATAAAAGAGCTTCTTCTTGACTTCACTTTCTCAAACACAAGTGTTTCGTTGTCTTGGATTAAAGTGGATTATAAAGTGTTGGATAAATATGATGCTTTTGGAGTATCATAATCAATTAAGAGCACTCGTGATGAGTTACTTTGCAATTTGTCGTTGTGAT